AAGTGGGCAGCTGTCCCCAACTGTCATCTCCCTTTAAGCCACGGCCTGTGTTTTGGGTGAATATAAATACCCAAAGTAACAGGGGTTCGCCGTCCCTTTTAAGTTGCAAGCACTATAGCTATTTATGCCTGCTGCAGAATTTGATTATCACAGTTGTCCTCCGGTGTCTGACTCTCAATTGCCTTCTCCCACACAGCTTGGTCGCAGAACCCAGACTAGGGATCACAAGCGAATGAATACAGGGCAGACACATGTAGAGACACTTGTAACTGGAATTAGTTGGGATATGCTCACTGGGATGGAGACACCAACTACTATAGTGGCCTCAGAACAGCGCAAGGGCTGGTCTTTGTAGGCTGTCTCTGTAGGGGATCAATCTTGGTCTGTAAATGCCTGGGAGGAAGAAGCTGCCATCGCTATCTTTTTGTGAACATTGATCAACAGTTTGCAAATGGATCGAGGAGTAAGGATTTGTATTTCTTCTGAATCTAACCTGTGCAAGGCTTTGCCACTACAGTGGAGCTGAGAAGCTGGGGTCTTTGACATTGCTATGCCTTTGTCAACAATATTCATTCACTTAGGACTTCCTTCATTCCCAACACTCAATGGGGTGACCTTTGACCCCACAGGACAATTTTTAACATCTGTAGACAGGTTGATAAGATTTACTTAATAATCTCAATAGGCACAGAAAACTCAAATGACAGAAATCTATAACTATTTTTTGTTTGATTGTTTTGAGGGTTTTTTTTTGAGTTTCAGAGAACTCATTTTTTTTAACATATTTTTATTGATTCTTTGAGAATTTCACATCATGCTCTCCAATTCTACTCATTTCCTAGTCCTTCTATGCCAGCCCTCCACCCTTGTTGCCACCCTTGCAAAAAATAGAAAAAGAAAAAAGGAAAAGAAAAACATTTTTCTTCTCTGCCCCTTCCTTCATCTCCAGGTATTCATTTGCTGTAGTGGCCTTGGGAGCTGTGGTATGTCACACCGTACACCTTTTTCCCAGATAGCTTTACTTGCAAATGTTCATTGTAACGAGTTGTTGGTCTGGTTCAAGGCCTCTGACTTTTGGTCAGGTTTTTATCCAGTTCAGGCTGGCCTCGGAATTGCAAAGTAACAGAGGATGACCTTGCTCTTGTTTTCTTTGTCTCCACCTCTGAAGCACTGGGTTACACGGGTGTATAACCACACCCAGTACTCGTAACCCATCTTTGATGTTCCAAAAATTTAATGAACTACATACAGAAATTTCTCACCCTGATAATGTTTCTCTGTGAAATACTGCAGTCAAAACTGAAAAATGTAAAACTTGTCCTAACAGAGAACATGGCAACTGTGTTTTCTATCACATCATTTATTCAGCATTATCCTGAAAAGTCAGTTAAGACAATTAGTACGGAAAAGAAGAAATAATAAGAAAGAAGAAAAGGGAGGGAAGGGGGAAGTTGAAGGGAAGAGACAGGGTATCCTTTATTCACAAAGAAGGATGTAAAACCATTTTCATAGGGCTGTTAAGAAAGTTCAGTGGTTAAGGGCATTTGCTGCCCTTGCAGAGGACCCATGCTTGGTTTCCAGCACCCACACTGGGCAGCTCACAACCGTATGCAACTTCAGCTGCAGGAGATCTGTTATTCTGGTCTTGCCTGTTTAGGCACCTGCATGCACACATGAACACACAAACACGCACATATAAGTAAAAATAAAATAGATATTTTAAAATGTTTCAGTAGCATGTGCTATGATTATGTATATAAAATCCTAAGTTCTTTACAAAAAAAAATGGTGAGAACTAGTAAATGAATTCATCAGGGCTGTGCAGCGCAAGACAACAATTTAAATTCATTGTCTATATACAATGAATATTATTTGAATGAAATTAAGAAAATGATTCACTAATAGTACAGCATAAAAAGAAAAAAAATTACCTAAAAACAATTTTAGCAAAAACAGTGCAAAAATTACACCCTACAAACCAAAAATAAAAAAAAACCCACTGTGAACGAAATTGTAACTGAATGAAGTGTTCTGTCATGCTCACGGATTGGAGACTTTGCATTTCCAACACGGCAATGATCCTTCAAGTGGACTTCATATTGACTACTAGCATTGCAATTACTAGCTTCTGAAGTTATTGACCCTGATCCTCAAATGATGTAGAAATCCAAGAGACCCACTACATCTGAACAATCCTGACAAAAGCCAAAGAGAAATTTCAAAACTTGCAGACATCAGGCAGGCAACAAATCACAGAGGTGGCACGGTCATCAACAGTGAAGAACAGAGGACGACAAAGGAGGACAGAGCAGGGCCTGTCTGGTGAGCTGATGTGCAGGGCAGGTCGAGGAGGAGGCAACATTCTGCAGCAATGATGAGGAACAACTGCCCATCCACATGCAACACTATGAAGTTGGACCACTTCCTCACACCATACACAAATATTGTTTCAAAAATAATTAGCAGACTCAAAAGGAAGAGCCAGAAAAAAAAGAAGAAAAAATATAGTAGATTTTCATGACCCTTGGTCAGGCAAATCCTTCTCTTAGACATAATACCAAAGGCTCATACTGAAAAGTAGATAGATTCAGCTCCTTTAAAAATTAAACATCTGTGCTTCTAGAATCCCACTAAGAATGATTAATGCTAATATACAGAATAGAAATTGTCATAAGGAACTTAAAAGTATATGAGAGAAAGAGAAAGAACATTTACAAGGCAATACAGACAGCTCACAAGCAACTTAGAAGAGGCTCTGTGCCATTCACTGTTAGGCCAATATAAAAGATAATGTATAACGAGGCACTCGGCTTCACATCCATGAAGGTTGTGATATGTATAGAAGATAACAAATGTGAATGATGGGAGATAACAGGACCCTCACATACTGTGCAAAATGGGATGGAAGTCCTCAGACTATAAAGTTACCGCATGATTCATCAGTTCTAACCTTAGGTACACAGCCAAGAGGAAAGAAATTGATGTTCACATAAAATCTTGCTTACGGATGCTTATTGGAGCCTTATTTGTAAAAGTCAAAGAAGAAGTGCATTGAAATGTCCTGAAGATAGAAGATGGCTTCTGAGCTATACAAAATTGACTCTGCACTCCAGTGCTGAGCCACTGGGGAGCCAATCCCACCTCTGGGCAGACTTCCCATCCCAACCCCGGTAGGGTTGAACCTCTTTGTAAATCCAGAAGGTAAACACGTGTGAAGTACCAGGTTCAGTGGTCCTGGTTATCTGTTTCTTTCCTTTCTCATAATGGTGAAGGTGCTGGTGTTGCTCTGTGCACCTGGAAGTGATTAAACAGGGAGGCAAGCTTGGTAATTCTCATAATAATGAGTCCGTCCTGCAGAGAGGATTCTTCTTTGTTCAAGATTTGCGCACTTCCCTTTCTGCAGTGCTGCTCAAGCCATTGCAAGGAGCCTGCGAAGGGGAAAACAGGGCAGACAGGAGCCTCTGAAGGATTTTCTGGACAGCTGAGCTCGGCTGGAGCCAACCCGTATGCCCAGCTTCTCTTCCTCATTTGGATTTCCCACTGGGTTCAGACTGCTTCTTCATCATTGCTGGCAGATCTCTTTGGCTCAGAACACAGCATTCTGATAAGTCCAATCAGTGCTCAGAGTCCTTGGGAGGTCAAAGAGCCTGGGACCCAAGTGTCATCTATGCAGTGACAGCAGCCAGATGCTGTCGACAGCCAGAGTCAAGGGGAAAATCAAACGGTAAATGAAAGGGCCAGAAGCCCAGGTTTCCCTCCTGTTCTTGGCCCAAAGAGATGGAGGAAATGCCAGAAATCTCACTGACCCTCACAGCATGTGAGGGCCTCATTTGGAGGGACACCCTCTGCCAGCATTCCATGTCTGTTCTGGGAGGGTCTAGGGAGAGGCAGCCAGAGGACCAGCTGTCAAGAGGGGGAGGAGAGGGTTATTCTTAGCGTGCAGGGGGATATGGAGCTTATCCATCCCCAGTAGTCTGATGGAATGCATGGAATGGAGAATGAATGTGATGTAGTAAAATCTTATAGCCAACGCTTACATGTTAGGTTTCTCCCACGGACCAGAGAACTCACTTGAGATTTCAGGAGAGGGTCTACATAGACGAGTGATCTTTTTGAGTCTTTAAATCAAGGTGATTTTACTTTTCTTTAATTTTGCAAACAAGGAAACAAAATTCACTCACCACCGTGGGCTCGCAGTAGAACTGGAGTTTGAAGCTACCTCTCATGTGGATCCTGTTGGAGGGTCACCTGTGAGGGGCAGGGCTGCGCTGTCAATGAGGCTGGCTGTGGAGGAGCCCAGAAATTCTAGCCAGGGCAAAGAGGAGGAAGGAGAGGCAGTGGCTGGAAGGAGGGAAGCTGAGGTGTCTTGGAGTCTATACTGAAAACCCAAGTCAGCTCTCTGGAGTGTGTGGTACCAAGAGTGGTGAAGGGAGCTGTGCACATAGCTTTGGAATTAGAGTGTTCATAGGTTCCTTCACCTCCTGTGTTCCTGGGCTCCTTTCTATGCTGGGGATTGTAGTCACCTGGTTCCCTCAGGGCTAAGGAAGTGAGTGAGCTTACTGAGCAGTTAGTCTGGTAGGAAATGAGCTTTTGTCCTCAGAGACTTACTTATTTCCTGAGTTCAAAATAAGTACAAGTATATCCAGTTCCTCAGTTGATTCCTCAACAACTCACCGTGAAGTGTTAGAGGAGAATAGACCCTTTTCCTGGTCTTGTTGTTTTACCCAAAGCCCACATTTGTAGAATGTGGGAGATTTGTCAATTCACATCTGGGATGGGGTGAAGAACAGGAAACTGAGCATGCATATGTTTTGAGAAGAAAAAAAAAAAGAAAAAAAAGTCAGCAAAAACTGGTGTTGGAATAGCTGCCGGCTGTTGGTCGTGTTTTTCCAGGTGGATACTGTCTAGCTAAGTCCCCAAATTGAAATACTCCCTTCTGGAGGGAGGAGGGAGACTCATAAGATGCAGGAAGGGGCTGAGCCTTACAAGGGCCAGCAAGCTGGTGAAGGCCTCTGCTTCAGTTATGTAAGCAAATGACAATGTGGAGAGAGGGAGGAGACTCCAGCTGGGGAAGCTACCTGAACGCGGTGGAGCGAGAAGCTGCAGGCTGCAGCTTCCAAGTGGACTGGGGAAACCTCAGAGGCATGCATACTCCTGTAAGTAGCTCTAATGGTCAGTAAACTCACTGGTCAGCAAGTTAGCCTGTGTAGAATTATCTCTTTGTTCTGCCGTCAGTCTCCCACATGCAGGTGAGGAGACTCTTGTGAAGGTCTTTGGAGGAAAAGTCCCATTATCATTGGATGTGCCCTGGACATCTGCAATGCGGAGATGTTGCCTTGGCGGGAGTGACTCACAGAAACATGCCCCAGGGACACTTATGAAGGAGTGGCTTCCTGTCATAAAGTCACTAAAATCAACAAGCTCCTTCTCGGTTTTCTTCTGTTGGTTTGGAGGATTGTGAGCTCCCATATCTGCCTTTTTCTATCACCAACTGATCTCCATTCCTAATTCCTGCATGGGTTCATCTGACTGCCAAATCTTCGGTCACGTGATTGTACTAAAGCAGAAAGGGAGGCTGGGAAGGGCAGATGTTGGATCTTTTGTTTGTTTTGTTTTGTTTTTTTACTTCTTATTTAAAGACAGTGTTTACTTGAAAAAAGAATTGTGAGCAACAGCAATTAGTTGGTGGGGAGGACTCACGTAAGCCCTCTCTCCAGGACACAGGAGCTTTTTGATCTGGAGGTAGGTGAGGAGGGGGAGTTCCATCAGATCCCCACTGTCTTGCAGTAAGAGCCCTGCATTGTCTTTGGAGGTGCCAGATACTTGAAGAGTGGCTTAGATGGCTCCAACATCCTTCTGTTTCTCCTTCCACCAAGAAAACTGGGGCTTAGGCACTTAGCCAGTCAGCTGTGGACCATGAGAATACACTAAAACTTGTATTCCTTTGATGCTAGATATACCTGGTCTCTACATTTCTCCAGACCTGACTTTAAACTCCAAATGTAGTTAGGAGTAAGGTATAGTTCTTATTGATTCCCCAGAGTGGTGTTCTTTATATTGTGGAATGTTAATTGGCTTTATGTCATATAATAATATGCTTGAGGTAATTTACTTATAAAGAGAAAATGTTTGTTTTGGCTCACCGTTTTGAAGGTTCCAGTTTATGATTAATAGGTTTCATTGCTTTGGGTTTCTGGTGGGGCTATTGGGTGACGATGGCAGGGAGTATTTAGTAAACTACTTCAATCATGACCTTGAAGTAAAAGAGATTCCTTTGTAGAAGGTCCTACAACCCCTTTCTAGAATGTGAAGACCTCATTATGTTTCTCTCTTAAAGGTCCCACTACCTTCTACCAGTGTTTTGGGAAACATTTATCCAAACCATAACAGGGGGTAAGAAGCAAATCAAAACGACACAAGTAGAGCACTGTCCTGATGAAAGTGTGTGTGAGGAAGTCTTCCTGGAGGAGGAGACAGTGGAGCTAAACCAAAATGTAGGAGCTTAGTTAACAAGCAAAAAACAAATCAAGTCTGGAAATCATCAGAGATGTTCTTCTAAGTACATTGGCTCTCTACTGGGCTAGGAAAGGATTGTATCCAATCCCATTCCCCCCAGAGAACTTTGGCCAGTGTAATTGGAGGTAGGTGGAAAGCTGAGGAGACAGTATGTTTTCCACATCCACTTTCTTCTGCTATGGTATTCATGGAAGCCAACGTAGGGATGAAGCCTTTGTTAGCTTGAATTATAAACTTTCTACAATGAGCAGATATTGTTTTTCTCCCCTGCTTCCCAGTGATAGCATGGGTCATGTGGAGGAAATTTATGAAGTATTTGTTTCCGCAGCAGCCCTTTGTCTCCCTGACTAATTCGTAGCGGCATCAGCAAAGACAGAGAAAATAGTACCAGAATAATGCCTGCAGCTGAGAATTAGATTCTTGCCAATCAATAGCTTGGAGTGGCTATTGAATAAATCATGACACTGGAAAACGGACAGCAGGAGATGACAAGCGGTTCACACCTGCTTTATAGATGGTTGCAACTGTGTTCTATGAGCACTGAGAATCCACTGGACTTTTATTTCAGAAAAATCACCGCAGCTGTAGTATGGAGACTAGGAAAAAATTCGTCGATTTTTTGGTTTTGTGGTTTTTTTTTTTTTTTTTTTTGGTGAAACAAAAAAAAAACCTTTTAATAGGTGAAAGTAAAAAGGATGGCTCAAGTCACAGAGTGGAGAAGAGGGGATGCCTGTAGGGACATCAATGAGGGAAAAATCTATCAGACTTGGTGAGCAACTGTATGTAAAGATGAAGAAGAGAGAGGAGTCCAACCCCAGAGATCACCTTGCTTCCATCCTCATCTGCCTCGCTCACTTAGCTTGTTTGCATGTGATGAGTGCTTTGCATTGGCCATCTCTGACTTAGACTGAGCAAATGTCTTCATCCTGAAGGAAGGAACTGAGCCTCAGGGAGGGACAGGAAGACGCTCTTTAAAGTCACAGTGCTGGAGCTCAAGTCTCCTTTGAAGTTGGTCTCCTTTCTCTAAACCACCTGGCCCACTAACCTTTAGGGGAGAAAGTAGAATTTTTGGTAGAGGATGTTAGACCAAGGTGCAGTGGGGGATGTGGGAGGCAGAACTGATGTGTGGGAAGAGGCTGCTAGTTTGTCCCGGCCACCCAGAACCGAAATAATCACACAGAAACTGTATAAATTAAATCACCGCTTAGGCCATTAGCTCTAGCTTCTTATTGACCAACTCTTACATATTAATTTAACCCATTTCTATTAATCTGTGTATCGTCATGTGGCTGTGACTTACTGGGTAAAGTTCCCAGCGTCTGTCTTTGGCAGGCTACATGGCTTCTCTCTAACTCTGCCTCCTTTCTCCCAGCATTCATTTTAGTTTCCCCACCTACCTAAGTTCTGCCCTAGCAGCAGGCCAAGCCAGTTTCTATTTTCATTAATGGTAATTACAGCATACAGAGGGGAATCCCATATCACTGATGCTTTTTGGCCAGAACTTTCCAGCTGATTTATCTAGGAGTGTTCAGGCATATGCTGTATGTATAAAAAGCAGTATGCTCAAAGGAAGGCCCATACACAAAAGTCTATATTTATAAGACGCAAATGAGTAATTTTTATTCTCTGGTAAAGGCTCTTTTCCCTTCTTATTCTATCAAAATATTCTTCGCAGGGTTCTTGAAGGGAGCAATCTGGATCTCCCATGATACTTTTAAAGGGCAATTTCTTGCACATTTTATTAGTGTTCCCATGCTTAGTAAAGCAGGTACTGGTAGCACTGTGCCAGTGTGAGATGTCATTAGTTCAGTATTTCCAGTCGCTTTCATAGTGGTTTTGAATAGAGACACAGGAAATGGAGTCAACTGTGTGTTTAAAAATGTTTCATTGTCTCCTGGTCAAACACAGGGAAAAACATTGTGAAACTTGGAGGACTTGTGGGGAAGGTTCCAGGGATCTGGACAGCTCCTCCCTCTTCTGGTTTCTTCTTCTAAATGGGAAGATGCATAAGCCACTGGTTTGACACATATGCAGGTAGCTCTTGAACTATGATGGGGGTTATGTCCTAATAAACCCATTGCATCTAAGACACTTGACTTACCAATATCACAGATCAGCCTGGCGTATATGCACTATGCCAGTCTATGATTGATTGACATTTACCTAGTGCGAAGCCTGCTTTGTGATGAAGTGTTGGATGTCATGTGTAATTTATTGAACACTGAATTGAGGTGAAAACCAGGATATCTGCTCTTTCAAACATTCCTAACATCAAAACACCATAATAAGCCATCATGACTTTGAGGTCTTACACATTGATTTCTTTGATTGTTTTCATTGCTGCTATTTTTTTTTAAGATGCTGAAGTCCTTTCTAAGTGTAGTACTGCACAGAAACCCTATAAACAGGTACTTTCATATTGCACTTTGTGGGCTCTGATAACGACAAATTACCCACCACATTATTTAGACTACATATATATTTAGTATGCATGTTACATACACGGCGGGGGGGCATTTGCTCAGTGTTAAATACAGCACTGTATACATCACTCATTTAGTTGTTGCAACATCATGGCTCATGCCCTCCTGTGCATTTACAGATGAAAAGAACAAGCCTCAGGTTGAGTAACTTCTTAAAGGTCAAAAGGTTAGGATATAGTGAATGAGCCCCAGAAGTTTTACTCATATTTATTACAGTTCTGGTTGAAAAGTTGAATAAGATCTTCCAAGGGTGTAGAGTTGGGTTACTACTTATGAGTCACTAGATTTGCCTGGTTATGCCTAAACAACTAACTACCCAAGGTAACACATTTCATCTGGGCCTTGAGCCAGTTTAAAAGGGGCTTAGCCACAGAGATACCACTGGCCTGATTCCCCCCAGGAGTAGCTGACACTTGAGGTAATAGTCATTGTCCAGGAGAGATAATATGGACAGAGGTATTTTTAACTGAGGCATAACATGGGAGCTGCATGATCATGTGTGTCAGCAGTGTCACAGATGGCCAGCAAAACTCATGACAGTGACTGCACTGAAGCTATCTCTGTAACAGGTCATTATCCCTTTCTAGCCTTAAATGACTGTGAAAAATGATGACTATGCCATGCAGCTTTGTCCACTTGCTGCATACTTGTCTCCATGTTTAGGCCTTTATAATCAAAATCTTATTAAATTGCCACCCCCTGTCTTAGAGACAACAGCAATGATTTTAAGGAAGTAGATTCTACAATTTTCTCGTGAAGCATGTACAGACATAGGGGCCCACATGTCGTCAGGACCCACCTGGAAGGAATGACTATTCTTTGGGGACAGCACTGAAGGAAAACATCGAGGCAGAAATGGCTGTGTCTGCATGGTTGGCGTCCTGTGCTAGTTTAACAAAAAGAACCAAAATGCTGGGCAGATACCAGTCTTTGAAGGAGGTGGTTTTCTGGGTCAGTTTCCTGGAGATATGGGGTTAGTGCCAGAGATGACAGTGGATGGGATTTCTCCTGTACCACATTGACTGATACTGTCTACAAATCCACTTGTAAATTCTGCCCTTTGTGTGGTATGGTTTTAAAGTCAGAGTGGGAACTCAAACTTCATTGTGACCTTTCACATATCTTTTTGCTTTTCTTGCTCACATTGCAAAGAGCCT